ATTATTTCCTTATTCCCAGAATTATGGCAGAGTAGGAGTAATAGTAAGCATATGGAGAAGGGATTGATCTCTGGAATGAGGCCAAAGCTGTAAGGGTTATGTGGCTCCAACTGTGGGGACTGGAAGAGAGCAGGGAATGAGGCAAGTCACTTGACATCTACATGAATTTCATGTCAAGAGACAATATAGGTAACTGAATTTTTGTTTCATTCTCAGTGCATAGTGTAAAGGTGGACATGGCTATTTAAAAGAGATTTCCAAGGCTGAGCAGCAGGCCTCTCCTTTCCCCACTATCCTTCTAGTCAGACATCTATTTAATTCCAAGGTCACAACAACTTTCTTAATGATGAAATCATGTTAAGATATTAGTACCTGTTGGACTGAGGGTGTGACTCAGTAGTAGACTGCTTGCCTTGCATGTGCAAGGCCCTAGGTTCAACCCCTGGAACCACACATAAAAAAGATACCACTAGCTGATAGCCATATGATTTATTATTCCTTCTAGAGGTCATTTTGGAGATGTCATACATTAAAGCAAAAGAGTGACTCACTAATGGTACAATATCAGCCAAACATCTGGAGATATTTTTTCTTTCTACAGAAGGATTCAACGAAGCCTGTCATAACAGCCCACTAGAAATGAAATAGAACAGATTAATCCAAATGCAAGGGATGAAAAGTACAACTAGATTTTGAGTTGAATATATACCATCCAATTATACTTATTTCAAATCTTAAATTACCATGATTTCACTGTCGTCTCTCTCCACTTCTTTAACTCATGTACATAGTGAAAATTTGACACATAGAATTCCATGAATGGTACTGCTTATTGAATTCATTATGGTAACTATCAGAGGCATTAGTAGTATAGTGCTGCTCCAGTACCTGGCACAGTGCCTGGGGCATATTAACTATTCAAAATTATAATAATTATTTTTACATCTTTATTGCCCCAGCTCCTGGCATAATGCCTGGCATAAAATAGAGCACTGCTGAGTTGCTTCCCGTTGTTCTCACTTTTCCATGGGATACATTTTTCTTCTGTTTTCCCCAATGCTGTGCCTTACTAGTATAGTCTTAGATCTTCCTGTAAGAATAGTGCTTAGCTCAGCACTATCAGTGACACCATCAGAAAAGCCACTTAGCCTTTTCTTCTATGGCAAATGGGTAGCGAGTGTTTAAGACCATTTTTTCAGATAGGAAAACTGAGGTCATGAGCTGTTACCTTGGAATTTTAGCTTACTGCTCACCCTTGTATCTTATTATAGCTTCCAAAATAGGGCCCTGCTCCACACCCCCCCCCCCCCCCCACCATTTCCCTACCAGGCCATCGTCAATCTCATCAGTTTTATTCTTACACTCTGTGGGGCCTGGAATGCCCTCATATTTTCATATTTATTCCATCCTCCAGGGATTAGTTTAAGAACTACCACCTCCATGAAATCTCTGAGACTTGCAATCCTCTTTGAATCTGGTGATCGAGCCTGTTCTGAAATCACAAAGCATCAAATCAGTACCATCTAATTTAGCACTCGACTGTGCCAACTCTCCTCAGTTAGATGGTTTTTGCTCATTAAACATCCATTAATTATCTGTTGTGTAGCAGACCCTGTGTGAATGTTTGGGAATTCTCAAATGAAAGTATTCCTACCTTTCTATTGAAGCAGACCAGGTTCCCCACCCAAAAGACCTTTGCCATAATTAAGCTTCTCTTCTTGTCAGAAGATTTTTACAAAAAGTGTCAAAATAATGTCAGCAGGGTTTCTGCAGAGGGCATTGTGGTTTGAAGCTTCCTCTTTCTTGTAAGTACAAGGTTTGCAGACAAAAGGTATGATAGAGTTAGAATCTGCAATCAAGCTTGCTGGGCAAAAAGATATTATCTCTGTTTTCTTGGTAAAAAGTGGTAAAACCTCTGTATAGCCTAAGACTATGGGATAAAGAGTAACTGTTATGTACCCATCTACTGTCATGTAACCACACCACTGAAAATAAATCCAAAAGAATTTCCAGACTTGGGGTCCAGAGATTTTTAGCCATTCGCAACTCTGGACTGCTATAGCTTATAAACCTGCTTCCTGAAAATTCCTCAGATGTCCAGCCTCTACTGTCTCACATCAGTATGGCTAAAACATAGGGTGAAATGAAGAAAGATACAGGAATATCAATGGAAGGTTGCCTCATTCTTTCTTCATATAGATACCAAGTGTCTAGGGTGTGCCAGGCACTGGATGAGGTGCAGGTGCTAGAAAAATAGGACAGATGCAATTTTTGCACTTGAGTTTTAAAGTTAATTGGATAGGAGAGATAATTATTCAGCAAGACAAAGAAGTATGTAAAGAGAAATTATGGTAAGCATTCAAAAGGAAGGAAGAGGACAGGGTACAATGGAGAGAAGAATATGAAGGAACTATTTTAGATAGGGTGGTTAGTGAAGGTCGCTGTAAGGAAGTGGTATTTTGTTGAGGCCTGCAAGATGAAAAAAGCTGAAGAAGAGTGTCCCAGGCTGTGATCAAATCTCTTGAGGTAGGAAAAAGTCTCAGCATATTGGAAGAAGATTTAAACCAGGCATGATGGCACAAATCTGTAATCCCTGAAACTTGGTGGTGGGGGAGGACTGAGGCAGTAGGAACACAAGTTTAAGGTCAGCCTCAGAAATTTAGCAAGACCCTGTCTCAAAATAAATAAATTAATTAAAAAGACTCAGTGGTAGTGCCACTTGGGTATCATGTGCAAGACCCTGGGTTAAATCCCCAGAATTTTTGTAAATAAATCCCACTTTTTGTAAAAAATCTTTCTGACCCTTTTGGTTTACAACATAGACAGCAGTCTACAATTAGTATTGTGAAGAAGAAAAAAAATAAGAAGTTCCATAAGGCTAAAGAGTACTGGCTAGGGGTGAGAGAGTTGCTTAAGAAGACAATGGAGAGGTAAATGCTTTGGAGAGCCAATACCTTGCAGACCTTATAAGGAATATTCATTCATCACAAAGGCAAGAGAAAACTAACCAATGAACAATGAAATGGGATTGGTTTTTTTTTTTTTTTCATGGATAATTTGGGGATAAGATAGAAGGTAGACTTCAACGGGAGAAAATACAATCAAGATGATCAGTCAATTCCAAGGTCATAGCAATGGTACAGGTGAGAGTTGATGAAAGCAGCTACCTGCTCTTTCCTGCCCCCTCCTGGCACCACATTGATTAGCATAGTGCTAGGCACACTGGGAGCTCTAAGTGATCAAGTAAACAAATGAAAATTGAATTGAGTTTCTATTCAGGAGGTCATACAATCTCTTCTCCCTTTCCCCTTTTGGTTTACAACATAAAGAGCAGTCTACAATTAGTATTATTAAAGTCATTTGCTGTATAGTTGTCAATGCTTACTCTGAGTGCTGCTTTCCTTTAGCTACTGCTGAGTTACTTGAAAGTAGTGAAAGAAAATACCAGTGCTTCTCAAGAGAGCCAAACAGCACCCTGCTCTCCTGAGATCTGGATGCAAAGAGAAATTTGTCATTTAGCCCTCTTCAGGGCAAGAGGCACCTCTCATCTACAAATGCTAACTTCCCAGAAGATCACAAGGACATGAATTACAAATTCCACTTGATATAATATATGCTTCTCCTTCTGCCAAAGCAAGGATATAATTACCTGAAAGAGTGAGGTAAATGTTTGTGGAAGCTCCATGTCTTCATTTTCTCTTACATCCAGGAGATGAGACAAGGGGATCTTTATCACATTTCCATTTCCTTTTGCTGGCAAAATAGTTCTATAATGAAAAACACTGAAATAGGACCATTCTAGTTCGGCCTCCAAGGGAGCCTGGAGGACTAAGAGATGGGAAGGAAAGGGGAGCCAATCACCTAATGGATCTGAGCCTCATGTTCTCCCCTGAGATCATCATTTCCATCTTACAGAGCTAGTACAAGGAGTCAATAAGGAATGTGAGTGAATTTGATCCTGTAAATTATAAGACAAGAGCTCTATCTTGTGATTCATTCTATGCAAATGAAGGCAAAAACTGTCTCTTTTTTTCTTACCCTCCCAGATAAAGTTTAAACACATTGTAGGAGCTCAGTAAATAGGTTTTTGCTTAAAAATCAATTCCATTAAGAATAATCTGGCTTTAGATCTGGTACAAATAAAACAGACCATTCACTTCTCAGAATTAAATCAAACAGATTCTCAGATCTGTTAGCGCATTGGTTTGGAATGGTAGAAGGAAAAAAATCATGGATGGGCAGAGGCAGTGCATGCTTATCTTTTGCAGATGGCTTTGGCTGATTGGAGTCAATATCCCTTCCCCAGTGAGCAGCAACAAGAAACAGGATTGCAGTTAGCACTAAAACAGCATTTCAATCCAGGATGTGCATCTGGGACAGTTGCAAATGTAATCTTGAAAATTAGTACAAACCCACAGACCAAGGGCTCAAAAGGAAACTGGCCAAAGATGAGCACCAACTTTCCATCATCAACCAGCAGTATTATTATGAGTATTTTCAGGCAGCAGAAAGGAAGGAAGGAAAGAAGGAAGAATTTGTACCATATGTTGGACGGTTTACTCTGTGCCAGTTGCTTTGATAATGTACACCTCCTGTAACTCTCACAATAGCTTTACAAGGCAAGAATTATTCTCTCACATAGGACCTAGCACACAATAAGCAGTCACTAAATGATAACTGCCAGTGATATTATTAACATGAATAACCTTAGTAATAATAAGTGAAGCACAGAGGGTTTGAGTAACTTAGCCAAGGTCTCAGAGCTGACAAGTGATAGAACGGGTGTTTGAGTTCAGGTCTTTATAACCCTAAAGCCTGAGCTTTTTCTGCTGTACCCCTTGGCAAGAGGGAAAGGATAGTGTCATTAAAACACTTTGGGATTTTTCCAACCCCTTAGCAAGGCTGCCCTCTGTAACTTGTCACCTGAGACCTTCAGATAACTAAGAATGTTTTTGGTCTTTCCCTCTCTCCTCACTCAGCTTTCTAAATTGCTATGAACCATGGCCCAGCTATACTACAAGAAGGTCAATTATTCACCATATAGAGACCGCATCCCCCTGCAAATCGTGAGGGCTGAGACGGAGCTCTCTGCCGAGGAGAAAGCCTTCCTCAATGCTGTGGAGAAGGGGGACTATGCCACTGTGAAGCAGGCACTACAAGAGGCCGAGATCTACTACAATGTCAACATCAACTGCATGGATCCTCTGGGTCGGAGTGCCCTGCTCATTGCTATTGAGAATGAGAACCTGGAGATCATGGAGCTACTGCTGAACCACAGCGTGTATGTGGGTGATGCATTACTCTATGCCATCCGCAAGGAAGTGGTGGGTGCTGTGGAGCTTCTGCTCAGCTACAGGAAGCCCAGCGGAGAGAAACAGGTAAGAGAACTCCCTACACGCTGGGAAATGGCCAGAAACAGCAGCACACAGTTCAAAGCCTTGAAACTAGGGAAGGTTAGATAGTCTGGAGTTAGGAAACTCTATCTCAGGAATCGCTTCAGTGATCTCAGGTGGTATTCTAGAGCTATGCTGAGTTATGCTCACTTGCCTTTTCCTTTTTAATATTTGCCCATATACATTCAATACATAACGATTCAAAATTGTGCTCTTCATTTCCAGAATATGCAAGCAATTTCTACTTCTCCTACCCCTGCTTCTTTCTTCATTTCCTTACTGTACTCAATGATTAGATTGTAGAAAATAAGAGACCAAACACAGACCTGGCTTTCTCATTCCCACTGGCCTCTCTTCTGCAGATGAGAAAGGAAACTTTGAACTTGGATGCCACTGTAGAGATACAGATGGACCTAAGCCCTCCCATATTTTCCAAGTACCTGTTTATGTGACTGCATTCCACTCATAGACGTTTGGGTTTTGCCCTGGTGATTATCATATGCTTCAAGGCACCTAGATTAGATATTCCATAGTCATCTTTGATACCTCCCTCTATCTTGCCTCCATATTTAATTCCTAAGCCCTATGCTTTCTTAATTCCCATACATATTTTCTTTTCTCTCTATCCCAGCTTCCACCACTATGACTCTATTTCCATCATCTCTCTCCTAGATGAGTGATTCTCAAAGTATAGTCCCTAGATGAGCAGCATCAACATTAACTGGGAGCTTATTTTAAAATGAAAAACCTTAACACTCCCCAGTTCAGTTCTAAAAATCACAAACTCTGGGGTTGGGTTCAGCAAGCTGTAACTTAATAAGCCCTCCAGGGAATTTTGATGCATGCTAAGGTTTGAGATCCACTGTCCTGGACTAACAAAAAATGTCTAGCTGGCCTCCCTGCATTTTCCCTTCTTTCAAGCCATCCTAAAAAAAATGAGCTTGGTTTATTTGTATTGAAATCTCATAATGATCCTATCATTCCTGTCCATCTTTCAGCAAGTATAATATATCCTTGACTTAGTCCACTTTCTGTTTCTGTGACAAAATACCTGAAGCTTTGTAATTTATAAAGAAAAGTATGGTCAGGCACAGTGGCACACGCCTGTAATCCCAGTGACTCTATAGGCTGAGGCAGGAGGAATGCAGGTTCAAAGCCAGCCTCAGCAACTTAGTAAGGTCCTAAGCAACTTATGAAACCTTTTCTCAAAACATAAAATAAAAGGGACTGCGGATGTGGTTCAGTGATTAAGTGTCTATGGATTCAATCCCTAGTACCAAAACAACAACAACAAAATGTATAACTCACAGTTTTGGTGCCATCTATTCAACTTCTGATGAGAGTCCCCTGGGCTGCATCACATTGTGGTAGGAAAAATGGAAAGGGAACCAACCACAGGCAAAAAGAGCAATATGAGAATATATAGTGGCCTCAGCTATGCTGAGTTTTGCTCACTTGCCTTTTCCTTTATAAGAACATGCTCTTTTATAACTAACTCACTCTGCAGGACCAGCATTCATTCCTTTCCAGATCAGTGCTCCCAGTAACCTAATTATTTTGCACCTCTTAAAGGTTCTACTACTTTAACATCACCACACTGAGGACCAAACCTCCAGCAAAAGAAACCTTTGACGACAAACTGCATCCATACCATAGCATTCCTTATTAGAAGAGAAACTAACCCATAAAGCCTAACACTCAGTACCCTTCATATAATAGTCTTTTTTAGTCTTGTCTTCCCCTAGTCCTTTGTAAACACCCCCCAAGTCAGACAAGTCTCTTCACTGTCTCTCTTCTTTAGGAGCATAGAATTGGGCATATAGTAGGGACAAATAAAATACTGAATCATCAGAAATACAACACCTCAATACATTCCACAAAGTAGAGATAGTAGAAAACAAGATACTTAACTAAAGGTTTCTTAAGTAAAGGGTCTAGATGCCCTCCTTCCCCATCAGCATTTAACACAGTCCTGAGAAAGTAGGGACTTTGTCTCTATTGTTCACTGCTGCATGACATCACTAGAAAAGTGCCTGGAACATCACAGGCACCTGATAAATATTTATTTAATGAATAAGTAATATGCAACCAGCACTATACTAAGCATCTTACACTACTTACCTCATTTAATCCTCTGAGCAATTTTATTAGGTAGACACTATTATATCATCACATTTTACTATTGAGAAAAATTGAATCCCAGGATAATCAGGTAAATTTTATGATCACAGTTAATAAATGGCAGAGGCAGGATTCTAACCCAGGCAGCCTAGCTCCTAAACTGCCCTTTAACCACTATCAATACTGCTTCCCTGGAAATCTAAATAAATCTTAGTATTCCCAGTGTTAAGAATTATGAGACAGAACAGATGAATGCAAGATGGATGAGCCCTCTGGAAAGAACAGGCCTGAAGGATCCGAATGAATAACAAAACAAAGAGGTGAATGTTTCCTACTCAATCCATTTCACCATCCCCATCAAAACTCATCTCTTTTTGTGTCCCCTTTCCCCAAATACATGTTAAGTGTTGAGTGGTTTAATGTGTTAATTTTCTTGAAGACTTCTAGTGACCTTGCTCCAAAATGACCTTTTCTGTCCCCAACATCCTGCAACCCATTGGCTCTTCCCTTCGCTAGATACCAATCTCATGCCATTTTCTACCACTGGTCAGCCTCACTTGTAGAAATGCCTAGTCTCTGTAACTAGATTGTTTCCTAAATGTGAGGCATAAATTTAGTGCCCAACTGTCTCCATGCTTATCCCATAAGTATCGAAACAAGTGCCTACTAGATAATTGATGATATGTAAATATTTGCTGAGGGACATGAAAGAGTCCCTCATGAAGGATACATGAAGTATATTACCTAGGAAGCACACGACTTGTTATTAAACAAGACCTCTTTGAGCTGGGCTCGGTCGTGCATGCCTGTAATTCCAGCAACTTGGGAGGCTGAGGCAGGAAGATCTTGAGTTCAAAGCCAGCCTCAGAAGATTAGAGAGACACTTAGCAACTCAGTGAGACCCTGTCTCTAAATGAAATACTTAAAAAGGCTGGGAATGTGGCTCAATGGTTAAGCACCCATGAGTTCAATCCCTGGTGCCAAAAATAAACAAACAAACAAGACCTTTTTGGCTTTCATATTCAATCCCATTTAGACTAGTAACTGTTTGAAGAAGAGAACATATGGAAGTTTTGGGGTGGGGGAACCTAGCAATGTTGACACTAGCTAACTTTTTAAAATAGGCCAAGTTCTTGTTCAATGGGTCCACTTTCCCCATCATTCCTGAGTGCTCTAGCAAATGATAAAGTTTTGCCAGTCAGGATGAAAGTTACCAGGTATACTTACACTCAAGTGCAGTCTTTGCCTCTCCTGGGCAAAGACAGAACTTTAACTCAATAGGAATGAACCACTAAGGGTGGAAAGTCAGGTATATGGAACCTGGGTAAAGCTATCTAGGGCAAGCTCTCTTTTGCCAGGACCCTTTCACACACAGTCAATAAAAGACTTTCTTTGTCCATGCTCAGATATCATACTGCATGTACAAACTCACAAAGCCATCAGGTCCATTCCCAAGTTTCTGCAGCAGCCTTCTCCTGCCCTTCTCCTGCCCTACTCCAACCCCTCCCAGCAGCCTGTGCTACATTTCATTTTCTTCCACTGCTCTGACAATCATTATGATAAGTCAGATGTCAGTAACTATAACAACAGGCTGCCACAGTGCTGGAGCTCTGTCTTTCTGGGAGATAGATACACGGTTGTTTACCTGGGAGCAATCAGGGCTATGAGTCAACACAGGCCTCCTAAAGGACCTTGGATTCATCTGGGTGGTCCACTCACAGGAAGGTACTCAAGTATTCTACACATACAATCCAAACCACTGTCCTGTTTCACAGAGGCTCTTCTCTATCTTTCCAGGACATTGGGTACAGCTGATCTCCCCTATTTTGGGAAAGATAAACCAATCCTCTCCTTGTCATTACCGGGCAAGAACTTGAGCCCCAGGCGAGTGGCAAGACCTCCTCTGCTCTTTTTTCCCCCATCCCCCTTATGTTCCTCTGCCTCTCTAGCCTATCAAAACTACTCTCAGATGAAGATCACAGCCAGAGCATAAATGACTGACATGACTTTCAAGTATCAACACCATATGAAGACATGCATTTTTAATAGAGATCAAATATTAAAGTAAAAATGATGAGACCTTAGCAGGTAGAATTTTCTGCACCAGAGGGTGTGTGTGTGTGTGTGTGTGTGTGTGTGTATGTGTTACTTTATGGTCCTCTGGTTGCTCCAGAAATCTGACGTTTTTGGCCCACTACCTAATCACCATGGTCTATTCCTCTAGGGGTAGATTTTGGCAACCTGGAGGATTTGTGATTTCTTGGGGTAAGTAGTCTCAGAATTCAAGCTCTATGGACAACAGGAAGTCTAATGCCAGCCTATTTCTTGTCAGCAAGGGAGACTATATGAGCATGCTCAAAATCAACTCAGAATCCATTGATATGCATATGAAAAGTTGTAAAAATGGAGATTCCTGAGCTTCCTTACATACCTACAGAATGAAAATCTGGGGTTTAGGCCTTAAATCAGCATTCAATAAGCTTATCTCTACCCATTTCTAAGTAAGAGGTTCATGCACCTCTCCATATTTCCTACAGCTTTCATAACAAATATCCATAAAGTGAATGGCCTAAACAAAATGAATATATTATCTCTCAGTGCAGGGGGGCATAAGTCTGAAATGAAGATGTCAGTAGGGTTGGTTCCTTCTGGAGGGAGAATTAATTCCACACCTTTCTGCTAGCTTCTGGTGGTTGCCAGCAATACCTGGCATTCCTTAGCTTATAACTGCCATCACTGTAGTCTCTATCTCCATTGTCACAGAGTTCTCATCTGTGTCTTCTGTTTCTGCATCCAAATATTCCTCTCCATTCTCTCTCTTTCTCTCTCTCCCTCCCTCCCTCCATCCCTCTCCCCTCTCTCAC